CTTGTTTGTTGGCATAGTGACGAGCGACGTTTGTTCCACCGCTACCTCTGCCATCCGGAAGAGACACGTGACAGATATTCATAGACATGCGCTGATCCAATCTTTTCCTCTCTCTTTCCCATTCAGGTGTGTCTTGTTTGTTGGCATAGTGACGAGCGACGACAATGGCTCGCTGAAAACATAATTCGTCGGCATTTTTAATGGTAACGAGGCATCTCTTTTTATTCAAATATTCGTCGAAATTAGCACTGTGTCTCTTCTTCACGTTTGTTCCACCTCTATCTCCGCCATCCGGAAGAGACACGTGACAGATATTCATAGACATGCGCTGATCCAGTCGAAATTCTTCATTACTCTGTAATACGGCAGCCACTTTCTGTAAAAGGTCTTCGGCTTTTAACAAACGATGTTCACGGAACGGTAACCAAATAGGTGATTTGAGTCCTGGGTGACTGATGGCTATTCTAACGTAGTCACTTTCTCTAGCGTCCAAGGTTTGGCGAATTTCCTCAATCATGACCTCAAAGGTGTCGTGTAATTGCTGTGGTACATCTACGGCCGGAACGTGGGACCAATCCTCCAGAAAATCTATGTAGACACATAGCGATTCGGTTCTAAACAATCTACTGTATCTTCTGTCTACGGGTCGTAATGAAAAACTCATCTTGCTCGGTTCGGTGATAGCGTGAAAGTGTCAGAACCTATCGCGTCTCTCCCTTTTATCCCCCTTATGCTGTGACGTTATCAAAAGTTAGATATCGTACACCTCACGTGATATAACGTTGCACGTGTATATATAGCCTTCAACACTCTACGATGTATAACGTTGCATCACGTCTATTTTTAGCTTCCAACGTCCAATCTACGATGCATCACGTTATGCTAAGCGCCGTGACGTCACTCCATGAATGGACTCGTCTGTGACGTCATACCCTCAAATGGATTCGTCCTATGACGTCACTCCATGAATGGACTCGTCTGTCAAATGGATTCGTCCTTACGGTAATAAAACGACACACCATTCATCTCTCATTATCAGAATGGGTGACGGCGCTCCGATCATTCGCCTCGGGGAAAACCTCAACGTAGATACCTTCTTGTATCTCAGGGGTAATACTCTTGCCGTGATTACCCCTGACGATATCTTTGTCTTACCTGACGAGGTATTAAAAACACCTCCCAGAAAAAGACCGCCTCTCGAATTAGTGGAGACCTTCCGACGCAACCGACATAAAGTGCGTCGCACCCTCACGTTCTAGTGAGGACAACGGCCCTTTTCAGGGCCAGCTTATGCAATGTAAAAAGAGTTGTTTCCCCTTCCTCTCCCCTTCCCCCTTCTCCCTTCTGCTCTCTTCTTCTTCTTCTTCTTCTTCTTTCCTCTGCGCTCTCTCTCCCTCTCTCTCTTTCTTCCCGCGCGCCCTCTCTTTTCTAGGTCACGGGGTCACGCACGTGCAGGGGGTCACACACGTGCAAGGTCACGCACCTGCAAGGTCACGAACCTGCAAGGGGTCACTCAGTGCAAGGTCACGCACGTGCAAGGTCACGGGGTCATTCAGTGCAAGGTCACGTGCACGCACATGCACGCACGCGCAAAAAATGGCTGTACAAGCCCCATAACTACTCTAATTCTCTTAACTTGAATTTTGGGCCCTTTTAATTGAATAACGTGAATTGGTACTGAATTGACTATGGACTAAAACATTTTGTCTGGAGCCACGTGCGAGATTGTTCGGGCATCGATTATTATTTGGATGATTGGTATACAGGTCGGCATAGAGTGGGCCGCCACTGGGCTCTCTGTGTGTACCCCGTAGTTTTCTTTGGTGACGGTATCAAAGGATTGTTTTAACCACAGTGTTATATAGGCCTATTATAGAAACTCTATGGTGATAATTATGCTCTTCAATACTGAGCCAGTATAAATCGTTAAATAGTATAAGACGTAAGTATAATATTACAAAAGATTTGAGCTCTACTCAACGCAGAAGCATCTACAGGCCTGCAGACTGGTAAATATAAGTAAGTACAGTATATTATTTTTAGTGAAAAAGGGACCAAAGATCAATAATTGTAAATTTTTCGTTGATATTTAACAACATCATAAAACTGTCGAATTCTGGATTCATTTTATTGAAGGTTATCTTTTCTGATTTTGGTGTATGTGGATTATCGGAAATATAAAAATGTAAATGATGAATAAATATTAGGCGTATATGTAATTTGTAACTTACAGGTTGTAATCTGGATTAAGACTAGTAATTATTTCAGTCTTTTCTTTTCCAACCTTTTCCCTTTTTGCATAGCAATTTTGGTCTAGAATTGAAGAAGGGCGTTTGAATTTACATTTTCTGTCAGGTTTTGGTGAGTATGTATGATTTCGAGGCGGAAAGATAAGAAAATAAAGAGACATACATAGATTAGGGGAAAGTCAACGCCGAAAATGACACGGACTAGAAAAGTATCGAAACGGTCAACCACCTTCAATAATTTATCAACTAATGAGTAATGACATGTTGGGCTCTTTATGATTATAAATATTAAGATCAGCCGAACGTTCCAAAATGTTATAGAATTACAGTCTTAATCCATCTAAGGACCAAGGGCGTAAGATGCTAAACTGTAATGTATACCTCAGTTTAATGACCCAAATTAAAAATGAGCTCGTTCTGTTTGATTTATTAGTTCTAGATTTATACGCCCTTTGACTGAACATACATGTATATTGTTCAACAATCATAAAGAATGATACAATAAAAAAAAGTGCGACCTATATTCACGATACTCTTTGTATACATTCATTTTTGTTTGGTGACTTTGTGTCTATATAATTTTATTGTCGTTTGGGCCTGTTGGAGAATAATAATTCAATGCATTACATGTACAGAATAAAAGACTATATTTGCACGAATACACCTTACACAATTTCTGTCACAGCCAAGAATTAGAACCTGTGACGTAAGGTTACTTATTAAAAGTGATGCATATACATGATTATTAGTTTAGTGGAATACAAGGCAGGGATATAAATGTGTTATATTATGTAGACACTACTCCTAAACAAGGTATGTCAGCATCATATAATGTTCGTTTTATTTCAGGTGATGATTTAAATATCTGATTTATTTTGTATCAACGAATAAAACCCTCATTCACAGAGGCCCATGTTTATCTATATATGCTGTGAGTTGCTGTTAAAGGACAATATTGGTGTCAGTCATTATTACACATGTGATAGAACTGGTTAAATACATTCCAAATATAATTTTAACACAGAGATCATTGCTACGGGAGATGTGTAATAAGCACGTGAAGAAACGGGAAGTGACGCCAAACATGACAAACACGAGTTATCCTTCTATATATATATGACTGAAGTAGCGAGCGATACCAGACAAACGGTCGAATTTCATTTCACTGATAATTCCGTTGAAGTTGAACAGTTATTATATGGGACGGTGAGAGTGTATCTCACAATTCAAAAATAGAATTGGCTGTCACTAGATAAGGGAAAACGAGAAAAATAGAAAAATCCCGTGCATTCCCCCGTTTTTATTCATTCTGTTCTTAATAAAAACATGGTAATGCACGGACTTTTTCTAATTTGATTGTTATCTTTTATCGAATGACAGCCAATTTTTTTTTGAATTGTCAGATATCCTCTCACCGTCTCATATAATAACTTTTTATCTTCAACTGAATTATCAGTGAAATGAAATTCGAGCGCGTGTCTATTATCGCTCGTTAATTCATTCAGTTATATAGAAGGACAACTCGTGTTTGTCATGTTTGGCGTCACTTCCCGTTTCTTCACGTGCTTGTTACACATCTCCCGTAGCAATGATCTCTCTGTTAAAATTATATTTGGGATGTATTTAACCAGTTCTATCACATATTTTATAATGACAGACAGCAATATTGTCCTTTAATAAATTAATAAATACTATATTTAATTATACACGATTATCTGATGTTCATTTCATTTATTGCAGATAATGGTTGACGTACGCATCTCGTTCGAAAATTGGGTAACGATCATCCTTATGCTTGAAACAACATATAGTGAGGACATAGCTACAATTTGCCAGTATAATGGAACAGCAGTTAATTGTTCTCATAGGGGTGTCCTAAACGTTACTGACAATCTTCCTGTAAACACTACATCTCTAGATCTTACGTTTAATAATATAACAATTCTATATGACGGTGATTTCTTACATCTAGTTAATCTGCGATATCTTTATGTTAGTTTTAATCCAATCCACACAGTACAGTCATCATCATTTAATGGATTATCATCAGTGTTGGTATTGGAATTTAATGACCATGTGTTGAATTATAGTGAAGCTTCCCTGCCAGTTAATGTTTTTAAACCTCTTCATTCACTTACAAACTTAAATATGAGATCAGATGTTTCAAGGTTTTATCGAAGTCCATTAAATGATTTACCTGACATTGTGTTTGGATCACTCACAAATTTAAGACATTTAAACATTGATACCGGCCCGAAAACCGTATTAAAATCTGTTTTTTCGAATTTAACTAAACTGCGGTACCTGATTATAGGTAATACAGTAAAACACGGAATTTCATTTTCCTGTGGACTTGGAACCTTAACTAACGAAACCCTTAAAGGACTCATGAAAACACAGATATACAATTAAATGGGTGCAGTTTGCAAACATTCCATCGTTATTCACTCAAGTATTTATCTAACTTAACAGATTTCATTATGCGAGGCAGTTCATTAATGAAAGGGGGTTTGCAGATTGTTTTCCAAGCCTTGAGTGTGTTCCAAAATAAGAGCATGTCAATTGTTTCCATCACTGATTTTCAGCCTGATAGTATTGATATCGGAACAGGGTCATCAATTTGTGTAAATACCTTATGTCAGATATGCGTTAGCCATATTGATTTACATTTAAGTAACATAATATATATGGATTTCCAAGGAGTTACCATGTTTAATTGCCCCCTAATGAAATGCGTAAAATCTATCAAACTAAGGCATAACAGAATTAGCTTAGGTGGTCTATCTATACTGTGGTTTTTTGCCATGCCACTTTTTTCAACCTTAGACACGACTGACATATCTCTTCAGAGGAATCTTGCTGTTGATGATGCGACATCGGTACATCACGGAAGCCATGTACTTTTTCCCATTTTGCTACCAGTGTTTCTTCCCCCAAAGATCAAATCAGTAAATATTGCTGGCATATCTGCACATTCCGGACCCTTGTGGAATATTAAGTTTTTGAATGGAACAAACGTGCTGTCACTAAATTTCTCCTACAGTGGCTTCACGGATTTCAACCATACAATTAGAGGTTTAGAAAATCTGGAAATTTTGGATATCAGTCACAATGACATGAGCTTAACCAAAGAAACGTTTTTTGATACATTTCCAAATTTGAAACAATTACGTTTAAGCTGCGTCCAATTTGATAATGGTTTTATATCACGACATGGTAAAGGACTGTTTGGTCAGTTAAAGAAATTAGAAAACCTTGATTTATCTGACAATGGCCTTGTGTTTTTACCATATGATATATTCAGCTCTCTTGTTACATTACAAGTTATTAATCTGGCTTTTAATAATTTGATAACAATACCAGATTTAACATCTCTTCGTAAACTGAACTTTATAGATCTGAGTCACAACTCATTTACAACACTTGAAAATAAATACAGAATGATGTTGGATAAAACAGCAGAAATTAATAATGGGTTAAATTTGTCACTTTGGGGAAACACTTTTTCTTGTATTTGTGAGTCGACTGGATTTTTAATTTGGTTGCAAGAAACCAGTGTTAAGTTAGATGGTGGTAATTATTCGTGCATGGACGTTACCGGGCAGATGAACTACACTAAAACAGTCCAAACCAAATGGAAAGCGTTTCAGAGATACTGTGTTTCAGAATTGTGGTTAAATGTCTCTATGTGTGGAATAAGTGTTGTTGTTGTTACTCTAATAACAGCTTTTATTTTCATAAAAAATAAGATGAAACTAAAATTGATACTTTTAAGGATGATCGGACAAAATATTTATCCCAAGAAACGGAATGAATTTTTGTATGACGCCTATATAATCTACACTGATTCTATTTATAGTTGGGTTTGTAATGAACTAAGAAGGTCACAATAATTATTGTATAATCCTGCGCATAGAGGGGGGGGGACATTTTTTCAGGATCTACCAGAAGACTTGGCAGCGGTGCCGGATTTACCTATAGGCTGGGCAGAGCATGAGCCTCACGATCTATGGTCGTATGGGGTCGACACGCACTGATACATCATACATCATACAGTAGTTTTAAACATCTTCCATTATCCTTGGATTTGCTCAAATTGTGTTTAAAACACATTTTCATTTTCCTCTTAAAGTGTGGTGGGGGGGGCCTTAGGGAGGGGGGAGGGGCTAATAAGTGGAATAGCCTAGTAGCCCTCTCTTCATCCTAATTGCTTGCCTCAAGTTCTAGGCGACCTCCTGTCATATTGTGTAATCCTACTCTTTTGGCCCTGTCATTATAAGGCCAACTTTCCATGTACGAGGTCCCACCTGCGGAAAAACATAGTGTTTTCGCACACGATTTTATTGTATTTCCATGTGTACAGAAATATCGCTGTAAATGATGTTGTAAGTGAAAATTTGTCCGACATTGTTTACGTTCAGTCGCCGTCTTTTATATAGTCTCTGTCATCCAAAAAAATAACCGTGTCAGAATATAAACATCCGCATGCGCACACTCCACGCGAAAAAGTCGCTCATCGAAACGTTTACAAAACATTAGCATTCGACTGAGTTTTTCGCCGGCAGTTCATTGACTTTGTGGAAGAAAATCCGTGTTTGTACGTCAGAATGTAAACATTATAAAGGTGCACAATTGTGGAATGATTTACCTGAAACCATAAAAACAAATTGCAGAAATGTTCTTTTTTTTCGAAGACTTATTACTAATAACATGCTTCAAACCTAAATCATCATCTTACTAATACTACCGGTAATACATGTACCACACGCTACATAATTGGTTAGCCATTATTTTTAATGTTCATTTCAATTGATAACCGTTGTTATATTTGTTATTTTTATTGTTTTTGTTATAAAGGACACAACGTGTCAGAAAGGTCCATACATATCGGACCTAGATTGTTCACCCTTTCGAAATAAAAATATTATTATTACTATTAATATAATACATATCATTGTATTATATCTTTAACTAATTATTGGGTTCCAATACATACTACATATATTGTAGAGAAGTCATATCTCATGCACTGAAATTGAATGATAGATTTATATATAAAAACAGTTATAATTTCATAAGTCTGGCTTAATAACAAAATAACACGTCGGACACTTCTGGTGGAAAGTTTCTACTGTCCATATAAGGGTGGTTCTTGACGTTATTGGGCTTAGTAACCAATCATCATAATTAATTACGTAATATTTGTTCAGTTAAATAATTGACAAAGCTGTCTCAAGAACATCTGTCAATCAATGTTATAAGACTGATTTAGTTCCTATAGATTTTAGACTGCCGCTAAATTCTTAGAGAAGGTAGATATCATGAAGATTTCTTAATGTTAGACATCGCCTGGGTTCTTTAGGCGGCCATATGATGTAGCGGTTCCCTGAGAGAAAGATAAGTTAATTTTAAGTATTGTATTGTAATCTATGCTTGTAACTTATGTATCCAGTGCTTGAAATAAAAATGTGGAAACGAACTGTTGCATTGTTTTTCCTGGTAAGTCAAACAAACGTCTTTTACTACTGAGACCGTAAGAAGAATATACACAACGTGAGTCCTAGCCAAAAGAAGAGAATTACAAATATAACCAGAGACAATAATAGACGATCACGGGGCTATTAAAATATGTAGCAGAAGAGAGTATGCGTCACACGTTGGATGTGGAGAGTTTTTGGTTTATGGGCTTTCCACATCTAGCCAGCGACTCATAGCAATAGGCATAGTACTACAGTATGTGGATCCCCATAAGTGGAATAGCCGAGGGTCTCTCTTCATCTAAACCCGGCACTGTCAACGACGTTACCGTGATAAAACAAAATGGTGGAACCCCAAGGGAAAAGTTATTTTTTTATTGGTGAAATAATCATTATTGAGCAAGCTTCGATATTAAAGCTATTGAGAACAACATTATGTAAGATTTAGATAAAGAGCTGACCATTCTTGCTAAAATAGCTCAAAAATAGATAATGTAATATGAAAATATTGAAAATTTCATTCAAATTGTTATCACTTTTTGTAGTTTTGACAAGATGTGTACACATTGTGGTAACCAGGGCACTAGTATATTCGAGACTTAGTCTTGCTATCCCATTTTTAAATTCAATTTTTAAATGGCGAACCGTTCTAATCTAGTTAAATCTCGAGTATCCAATGCTATCGAGAGTTGATTATGGTCTTGTTTTGTTCATAAATGTATAATTAATAGTTTATATAACATTCCAGGCCCATAGAGAAAGACCTGCAATAGGCATATTTAGCTCTTGCATAAGGTATGTTTAAGCGGGGCTTATGACGACTTTGCAGTCAGTTGCAAGAGTGCTTATGTCGATCATATCAGCAACTGGGAGCAACTGAATTCGGAGTGCTTAATTTATTCATCACGTGATCAACAAAATGGCGAATCACCTAGAAGAAGCAACCCAAAGGCATGGTCGGTCTTGCTACAATTCTATTAGTATATTATTGTTGACATCATCAAAACTTGAAAAGTGGGTGTCTTCGTTCGCTTCCATTTGCTTATTTATAAAGTCTCATGACACATGTCTCTTATCACGTGATGTTATTTCCGTGGAAACAAGTTCACTCCAGTTGCAAGAACGCTCATGTCGACTGCAACTAGTTACCGCTAGTTGCAGCCAGTTGCAGAAAGCTGAACTTGTGCAACTGACTGCATCTAGTTGCTTTGAGTTTTTCAGTTGCTCCCAGTTGCCGAAACGCTAGTTCCTTTCAGTTGCAAGGTCGACATAAGGTATGTTTAAGTTTGCCAGGTAAAACCAAAGGCACCCAATCGTAGTTAAAAACAAGCACATCAGTATATCTCAACGTTTCTGGTTGTTTTCGTAGCTAATGGCAAATGATGTCTCTTAATTTCTGGGTTAATCTTGCGTCCGCGTGATATCCGAGAATAAATTTAAACCGCAAAAAAACGGAATTTATTGGAAAAATGCCGATTGATTAGATATATTGATATATATTCGTCGATACAGCTTAACCAATATTATTATGTTAGCTTTCGTTGTATTTGTAATGCTTTTAGAAGAAAGTGGGAATAAAGAAAATAGGAAAAACCGGGCGTGTAGATTCACCCGAATTTCGGTTGCGACACATTTTGTTTCGGTGCTTATTAAGGCGTTAAAGGTGGAACGAAACTACCGGTAGCTAAATCTTCCTATTGCAGGTCTTTCTTTATGCCTTAAATGTTATCTAAATTATTAATAAGACATCAATTAACTTATCAAGATCATATCAACTCTCGATGTCATCGTCAGTCTGCGATATTTAGTGGATTTTATTACATAAAAATGGATAATCGAGACTTTGTTTATTATCGTTCCAACGGTAGTAATGACGACCGAGACTAGTCTAAAATTGAATCGCTGATAATGCCCCTTTAAGGCCTACACTGCCTTTGTGACGTAGCGTTGATTGTGACGTATCCGTATGTGGACGTAACCGACAGAGCGCAGATTACTTAGTTATCTGATGTGCATTAATTTTCCGTAAAATGGAGAAATCTTGGAGCCAAATATTTCAGGAGGAGAATAGTGGCACACCGGAAGGATTATCGAGGAGATGGAAGGAACGTATGGTTCCAGTAAATCAGAGAATGAATATCGCATCAGGTAAGGCCAAAATACCCGACCGCGCCTAATTTATTTAGACAAAATCGCCGACTCTATATTTTTCTATATCTTCAGGCCCTATAACTCGGTCTCGGCGTGAATTTTTCCAGACAGGCTAGATTCCAGCACTGAAATTAGAAATGCCAGACAATAGATAATACAAACACCACGAAAAAAAAAATTAAAAAAAGGATTTTCTGACCGATATACCCTATTGTTTTGGACCAAGTAAGACCATACAAAAAAAAATATTGTGGTTCTCAGACAACTCTTTTCTAAAAATCTGATGATTGAGTAAGGTTTTTAGTTTTGTGTTTTATTTTGTCAAAAGATCACTATAAACCTCAAGTTTCAAGAGATTAAAATTATCTCACGCATGTTGTTGAATCTATGATGCATTGGCCGAGAAAGTTCATCCAGATTTTCCGGCGTGGTTTCCCCTTGTCAGTGTTGCAGGACGGAGGGCCTGACAAGGACAGCTGTCTAGTCATTCGGATGATACGAAAAACCGAGATCCCGTGTACATATTGGCGTCACGTAAAAGATCCCTTGGCAGTTGGAATTCGATATAAGAGTAGGCCGTAGTGCCGCTGTCCGGGCAAAATTTCCCTCATAGCACACTGTATGGCGTATGCCCGTCTTCATTAGCCCAGTTCGGAGCAAAACAGTAGGACGTTAAACCCCATTTCATTTCATTTCATTTCATTGAATCTATGATTATCCAGTATCTTTTATGATTGTCAATAACAATTATCAAGGATGCATATTTGATGATTGAGTCTACGGTACATATTATACTAAAGTACATGTAGCACAGGAAAATATTTACGTGCGGTAATTAATGAGATCGTTTTTATTTTTGGAATTTTTAAAATAAAAACAGGTGATGCGGCTCTTTTTAAGTGACACGGGTATTTTATTTTCTTGGCCTAATGACTAGTTATGTTATATTAAGTTCGTGTGAAAATTGTATTATTATTAGCAAAAGGTCGTGCTTTGGTCATGTTTACCGTTGTGAATACATCTTTAAGTTGATAGCTTTCTCAATTCCAGGTATTTCTACCAACATCAGTATAACGAAGTTCTCCAAGGCGAAATTGACGACTTAAAATCACAGATCAGGGCAGCCAAACACGACAAGAAATCGGTCCTTGATACAACCTCCTATTTAAGCTTCGGCATGCCAGAACTTAGAAAGCACATTCGCACTCTTAAATTAGAGATATACTCCCTCAAAAGTAAGTTATTAATTCCAAAATATATCTTAAAAATCCACTAATTATCTGAAAATACATTCTCCATTGTAAAATATTCCATATTTTAACCATTGCTTTAAAATTCTAAAATAAAATTAACATTAAAAGAGAAGAAGTAATTCCATGAATAATTAATGGGTGTTAATAGGTATGACAAAAATATAGAAAAAAGTGTCCCACGAGAAAGAATAATGTTACATGACATTTAACAAGGTATCAACAAGCACACTTGATCTA